AGTAAAAGTGCATACTCCATTTGAGGTGAATTCTATGCATTTATGAAGCTGAATTTAATGAAGTGCTTCTTAAGCCAGTGTCACACGATTTCGCATTTGCCCAAAATTTTATGAAAATCGTACCCCAATCGCGTGAATGTACAAATATTTTTCTTTATCGCAATCACGAAAAACAATTTGTTCAAAGTTTTCAATAGAATTTCGCTGTATTGTACCAATCGTGTGACTACAAAAAAAATTTCGTCCCAATCTTTTTCATTTGTACCAATAGGCCAATATAAGAAATGTACAAACGTGCACAAATGTACAAATCGTGTGACACTGCCCTTTATAAATGTTATATTTGCGTATCACGCTTTAATTTTTTCGCCGTGTTGATACTCTGGATATGTATTAATTAAACTTATGTAGCTTGCGGTAGACTTGACAATCACCTGTAGGCGTCTGTATGACCTATTGTTCGAAGTCTGTTTATTAACCCGTGATACGAAGGCAGCAGTTTTTCGCGAGAACAGTTAGTATTTCATGTTGTCTTATTTGGAACTACAAGCTTTTGTCGATCTGGGCGGAGACCAAACAGCATAGTTGCCAACTTGGTGCTTTAAGCACTAGATTTAGTACTTTTTGAAAATTAAAACGCCAAAAAAAATTATTTAGTGCCTAGTGCCTTTTTTAGTGCTTTTTTTCTGAACTAAAATTACTTCGAGATAGTTAAAACCTGAAATAATTTGAAATATTTTAAGCTGTGACAGCACTGAATTTAGGAGAATCTACAACAGTGTTGCCATTTTAGCCGTTTTCCGGCTAGATTTAGCCGGTTGCGATAGCAACCAGCCGGAGAAATTTCGCTTTAGCCGGAAGCCGATTTGTTAGCCGTTTTGCAGAAAAAAATTAGCCGTTTTTAGCCGATTTTGCTATTTGCCTTGTTTTCTTAAAATTCAAATATGTATATGTGACCTGGTCTACGGAAAGGGGGGCTTAGGTGTCAAAAAAATCAATTTTCACTTTTTTGGTTGATTCGGATGGAAGATGAGATGCTTTTTCACGTGGTGAAAAGCAGAAAATCCTAACTTGCTTAGAAGTGTACTAAAAATGTAGAGAAAGAAGAGTAAAAACGAGTAAACGAAACGAGTTGCTTACTTTTAACAGCTTTTTCACAGAAAACTAGTTTTCGCACGTAAGCTCCCTTTTCGTAGACCAGGTCACATATATGTTTCCATTTTTGACTAGGCGACCCAAAATCTGTTAGAGATGGCCACTAGCCTTATCGTGGAGAAAATTTTCATGTCAGGCAGGGTTGTATGAAATTGGGCCGATTTCGCTTATTTTTCTTTTAAACGAAGAAGGGATTTCCTTCATAAAATGTTTGTTATAAATGTCTTAATTTTAAGTGTGAAGTTTTATTCGCAAACTTAGAAAATGAGAAATTGTTTCACTGTTAAGACACTTAAGATGCGTTTGTGTTTGGATATAGTGCCAACAAACAGAATAAATATTACATGTAGATATTGTGTTCCCCGATAGTCAATTCTGCCTAAATTACAAAACATCATTTTTGCCCACTCCGAAAGGTTTAAGGTAAGGAAAAAATTGATATTTTCAAGCACTATGTACACATAGTCGGCCGCTGTGGTGTAGTGGTAAGCAGAGGGCGCTTCCACTCCGCAGTACCTGGGTGCAAACCCTGGTCAAAGCAACATCGCAAAAATATAGAAAAAAGGTTTTTTCTTAACAGCGGTCGTCCCTCGGCAGGCAATGGCAAACCTCCGAGTGTATTTCTGCCATGAAAAACAGCTTCTCATAAAAATACAATCGCCGTTCGGAGTCGGCGTAAAACTGTAGGTCCCTCCGCTTAGTGTGACAACATCAAGGCGCACGCCACAAAGCGGAGGAGAAGCTCGGCCAAACACTAACATATGTGTAAGCGCCAATCTATTATTATTCTTATGTACACATATGTATTTTTTTAAACAAACTTTTTGCCGAGAATTTATTTAAATTCCGAAAACCGAATGCCAACTTGAATTAAAGGAACCAACACTGAAATGAATCAAAATGAAAATAAAAGAGCACAAATTTATATGTAAAGCAAAACTCTCTGGGAATCCTCTGGGAATCCTAATCTTTTGTGTAACTGTGATTTTGCATCCCTTGTCAACGTATGGCCTCGGTTGATGTTAACTTAAGGTCGTTGTTTTACTGCCTTAAAATTGAAGGGAAATTTTTACAGCGTTTTTTGTGTGTATTGGTTTCTATTTGAGTATATTGAGAATCGGTCAGTCTGAAAAGGCCTTGTAGGGAAGACAATAGGTTTGTTCGTCGAAAATACAGCGAGAATTGTCACTCAAAATATCCGATAGTAAGAAAAAATGCTCCCAAATTCTCTCTCATGTAGAGAAACTTGCAATTTTCTGTACGAACGCAAATTTGCAAGTTTTTTTGCCAGCTAGTGTCCACGGTTGCATTTCAAACAAAAGACATTTGTATAGAGTTTTTAAAATTCTTTCAGAGAACATACGTTTCAATTTCTTTGTCGGGTTTACTATATCGACTCTGGTTGAGATTGCATTCCGATTAAGAATACAGTTTTTTTTGCCGAATACCTTTCAAATCATTGGAATTAACTAAATTAATTAAGTAAACAAGTATTAACTTACATTTTTCGTTTTAAGATCGCTCCAGTTTGTAAATTTTTAAATTTAACGATCTTGTTTATTCAAATTATCGTCGACAAAAAATCCAACCATGTGCCACAATCATATGTTTTTCCTAATTGCAAATTCGTGCTGGCAAAATTTTTTCCGGCTGGAATTTGTAACTTCTCTCCAAGAAATAGTTTTTTACTCGTGATTTATTTAAATAAAACATGTGAAATTTAGTTTAAACATTTTACCCGTTTTTAGCCGGTTTTATTTGCCAATTTAGCCGGTTCGTCCAAAAAGTTCTGGCAACACTGATCTACAAATTTAAATGGACTAAAATACAACCATGATTGATAAAAGGCTGAAGTTGCAAACCCACCTTGTTAAATTCTATTCGCGTTGAAAATGCTAGTACGCAAGTAAGTTAAGTTATTTGTACAAATTTTAATTTTTTTAACCACCTGAGCTTTTTGAAAATCAAAAGATGGCGTCACTGCCAAACAGCTTCTCCAAACAGCTTGCCTCTCTCCTGAGATAATTTGCGCCAGTTGCTAATAACGAGTGCAGACAGATCCTTCTGCAAGCCAGCACAATCGCTGTATTTTTATATACTTAACTATGCCCATGTCGTTAAAAAGCTCATATAATTCGTCATTCCATCTTCTTCTATACCCGTCGTCCACGCGAACACGGCCGTAGATCTTGCGTAGAATAGTTCTCTCGAACGAACCCAAAGCCTTCCAATCTTTATTCGTTAGAAGTCGAAGTCGAAGTTATAACGAAATATCTCATATCTGAACAATCAGTTGTATGGGAGCTATATGTTACAGTGGTCCGATTCGTCCGGTTCCGACAAATGATTAATACATTATAAAAATACATCCACCTGCCAAATTTCATCCGGATATCTCGAAAACTGAGAGACTAGATTGCATACAAACAGACGGACAGACAGACAAACAGACAGACGGACAGACGGACATGGCTAAATCGACTCAGCTCGACGTTCTGATCATTTAAGTATACATTTTAATGGGTCTATCTCTTCTTATTCTGGTACTTACAAACATCGGACCAAAGTTATAATACCATTTCATGCTCATGAAAGGTATAAAAATACTTAAATTCTCATATAAAAAAATTTATATATATTTATATATATATCTCATGATCCAATGATCGGATCTAAACCAGATTAGTATGAGACCACCTCTGAGACACTAGCATTCCGATGCAAAAAGAATTACAGAAATCGGTTGAATCGGTGGTCCAAAGTTATGCGGTAACATACATAAAAAAAAAATAAAAAAAAATTTAAAGAAAAAATATATTTCGACGAACTGATAACCTCCTCCTTTTTTGGGCTCTCAAAATAGATTTGTCCACAGCAATCATTTTTGCCCCACTATGTGACTTTCTAAATAAGTGGATATGGAAAATAAATTGCTATTTTCCAGAGATTAAAATTTCGAACAAAATTCAGAATCAGTGCCCACAATTTCTTGTCGCGTCACGACTTGCACAACATGCGTATTCGCAAAAGCTCCGCATTAATTATTGTGAATGCAAAAGTGAATACGAATGTAAAAATTAATGTAGAAGCTCCGCGTTTGCGAATGCGAAAATACGCGACAACCCTGATTCTGATATCCAAAGCGTCAAAGAAGTGAACAATGGGTAGGTTCAGAAGGCTCAGCAGTTGAGCGCAACCGTTGCTAAAAAAAAATCAGTAATCGTTATGCGTCTTCTGAGCGGATTGATACATCAGCTGTGAAATTCAACTCTCAACGGTACACACCAACATGTTGCCTCAAATGTTCAGAAAAATATTACGATCATCTACCACGCAACTGTTCAGTTGATCAGAAGTACGAAGCCACGCGTTCAGAAGGTGCAATCGCAACAGTAACTGAGATGTTCCGCCTTCTGAACGTGCCCAATATAAATTTTTTGGGTAATTGACAAACTCAAACGGAATCAAGAATCGGCTGTTTAAAAGCAGCAACAATAACAACAGCTTCTAAAATCAAGTGCATTTATAAATATTTTACATATCGAGGGCTTATATTCAATATGACCAATCTGCAGTTTTCACAAAAGTGGTACTCCTATATAAAAATCCACCTTAGACTTAACTGTACTTACCTTGTACATAAAATTAACTAACGAATTTTACAGCTAAAATTGCAATCAGCGATGACAGTTAAGTCTCAGATGGGTTCGAACATGATAAAGTAGTTTTTGTGAAAACTGCAGATAGGTCGTATTGAATATACATAAGCCCCCGATGTAAACATTTTTAACAGCTTTTGAATAAATTTTTTTATTTACATACATATGTACATATTTAATTTATAGTAGCCAGTTAAATAGCAACAACATTGCCAATGAATTGAAAATCAATAACAACAAGATTCAACTCCTAATATCTATTACAGCAGATAATTACGATTAGAACTATGGTAATAAACAACAACAACAACAAAAACGTAAGTGAAAATAAATTACAAGGACTATAATCAATTCCTACATTGCATACGCACATAACTAATGTATGCCATACAGTAAAAAAAACTAAACTGAAACAACAAAACAATCATCACCAAAAATAGCAAAAACAACAAAAACAAAACGCCGCAAAAATGTCGACAACACGCACCTCGGATTGTCGTAAATTTTCACCAAATATCTTCAACAAAAGCAAATGCAGCCATTGCTTTCGTCAACGTGAGGAGCATAGTGCTGCCGCCTTGGAATGCAATCGGGTAAGTCAGATGCACTGATATGTGAACATATATACATTAGGGTGGCCCTTATTTCGAAAAGAGCTCGGATTGTCGGTCTCACCCCTAGAAATATGTGAATAGCCCAAAGCTTTAGGTCAATCAAAAAATTTTTAGAGGTGGCTCAAAGCGCTCAAAGTTTCCTATGTATTTTATATGGCAAAAAATAATAATTTTTCGTACAAATGGTATAGAATCCTTGAAAATCCATATTTTTCAATCGCCAAACTCTTTTTCTCTTCAGGAGACTTCCAGAAAAAATAACCAGTTGTTTATTTAAAAGTTTATTAATATTAACAATTTTTATGGTTCCCCCAAAACCCCTAAAAAATGCAATTGGGGACCCATCAAAAATCATCAGTATTAAACAAATTTTAAATAAACAATTGGGTAGTATTTTTTGAAATCTCCTGAAGAGAATCAGAGCATTCCTGTCGAAAAATATCGATTTTCAAGAATTCTATACCATTTCTACGAAAAGTGGTTTTTCCCCATATAAAATAAACGGAAAACTTTGAGCGACCTCTAAATATGTTTGGATTTCGAAACGAAACAATAGGAGTACATATAGGGGTATAGAACAATCCTAGGGGGTGAGAGCATAAAAATTCCGCCTTTTTGGACCACGCTAATTTACATACATGTGTATGTACAAACTATCTGCATAAATTCTTTGACTTTTGGAACCCGGCATGCTTGACATAAGTAGGTACATATGGATCCGCGTTGCTCTTAGTTTAAAAATAGAAATTTCTACTTTACATACATGCATTTGTGTACACATAAATATGTATATACATATGTGAACCACATGCCATATGCCACAAAAAGTCGATGAGAAAAAACTTAGTTATAATAACAAATCCAATGAGGAAAACAAAGAGTCTCATAGGCTTGTAATTCAAAAATAAACACAAAAGACGCACCGCTGCACAGTGGGCTGGCAGAGGATCAATGTGACCAAAACGAATAAGTTTGTGGAAGTCTGGAGACTTGTTTTTTTTTTTTAATACAGATATCTTTGCACACCTGTGTAACAAGCGTAATAAGGGTCATATGTATTACTACTATTTGTGTAACATAGAATATTTAAGAGTCATATGTATGAAAGCCTTAAGGAATGGATACACAAATTTGACTGTACAAAAGTGTATACTACATGGTAGTTCTTAAAATTTTATCATAATGCTTTTATATTTGTACATTATTCGTTATAAAAAAGACCAAATCAGAAATTTCAGTCGTACATGATTTACGTACATTTTAACGCATAGAATTCAAAAAAGTTTTATATTTTTAGTAAATTACCTACGTGCGTTTAATGTCTCCCCGTGTCTCGACGCAATAAAACATTACCATACCGTATAATAACTTGAGATAAAAATACCGGCGCGCTGTTGCTTATATTCATATAGCAAGCTTTTATTTAACTTGCTCTATATGTATTTATGTTTGCCTGGGTAAAGTCTTGCAATCAATGTGTAGCCAACTTCCCGTTGAGCTAGAGATTTGATTCAGCTCAAAACCCGAAGATAAGGCAATATGAAAGATTAATCAATACGTTAGGTGTCGGAGGAATCGATATATTTGAAAATCCCCCCATTTATAGTCCGATGCTCAAGGTATATGTATTACCTACATGGCAGGAAACAACTCCACATATTTTTATTTAAATTTCACTTCAGATTCCTAATCAATAACCCCGAAAATCCATAAATTACGAAATTCATATTGTTTTAATGAAAATTGGAATTATGGCCACTTTTATCTTCCGCCAGCCCACAGTGCGGTGGCGTGTTCTGTTAAGCCCGCTAGACATGCCTTGCTGGCGCAGCATAAATAATTAGTTGAAATTGTGTCGCTTTGTTATTCTAATAAAATTTTTCTTTACCACTTTTTATTTTGTTTGACAGGCTTTCCGTAGATATTGCATTTCAAAATCAACCTTTTGGATTACATTGTCTATGTATGCAGGTTTATCAATCTAAAGTTTTCGGTTATTTTTCGTTTTCTTTGTAGTATAATAGCTTACTTACTAGCTTTTTTTTACAGAACAGTAGCTTTGTTTACAATTTATCTGGCATTATGTCATGGAAATGCTTCTAGCATTACATCGATTTAATTGCTGATAGCATCTTACATAAATACATACCCTATAAACATTTTTGCGACCGTTCGAAAATGATCTTCGATATCCAATATGCATATCAAACCGAGAATAAACTCATAACCAGGGAACGGATTTTTAGGACCTAAAAACCTATAAAAAAGGCAAAATAAAATAACGAAATAGGACGGAAAAGGCAAAATCAAATAGCGAAAAAGGCAGGAAAAGGCACTAGGTAGTGCAAAAAAGGCAAAAAAAGGCAAAAAAAGGCAAAAAAAGGCAAAACAAAATAGCGAAAAAGGCAAGAAAAGGCAAAAAAAAGGTATTGCAAAAAAAGCAAAATAAGGCACTAAAAAAGACAGAAAATACGAAGAACAATCAAAAATTACATTTATTTTAGAAATGTTAATATTACAAGTAAAAAGAGAAAAACTATGAACTAATTTCATTATATGAAAAATTTGTACTTTGAATCTTTGACTATTTTATCATTTCGAGTTTTTAACTCATAAAACTTTAATCTGTATAGTTGTAGTAACATTGAACCACAAGATGCATTTTGAAGTTTTCTGGCAGCATTTTCATTAGATTTTCGCGAAGAAAAGCCTTGAATGTACTAAATGTGCGCTCGACGTAAGTTGATACAAGTGGCGCCCAATTTAAATATGGAACGTTTGAAACGTTCATATTATCAGGAATAAGGGCGTTTGCCTCGCCCTTAACAATTTTATCCACACCTCTTATTGTCTCCAAGCCTAAGTTAGCTGAGAAAACGGCTTTGAATTTTTCCAACACCAATTTGGCAATAGGCCCCTGCGCTTCTATAAGCCGCTTCTCAATGTTATCCAAAATATTTAATACCTCACCAACTGGAGTTCCTACAATTACATAAAAAGTGTATGTGAATTATTAATTTTTTACTGAGAATTTTGTTTTTCCACAACCTGTTTTCTGTAGACGTTCGAAAACTTTTTCCTCTAAAAGAAAACCAAAATTGCACTTTATATATATCAAATTCCCCTGAACCGATTTTTTGCTCAACAATTGCTTCGAGAATCTGACACATGCTGCATCGTCCGTTATTTGGTCAATTATTCTTTTGATGGAATCATAGTTTTCGGCATAATATACGGCTGCAATTAGCCATGTGCCCCATCGAGTTATCACCTGTATAAATTTACAAATAATTATAATTAAAATTAACAACAATAGCAATTTATCTTGACATACCGGCTGAGGAGGCAGAGGAAGATTGGGTTCCATTTCTTTGAAAACTGCCACCCTGAATGGGCTTTTCAAGAAAACTTTTTTTAAGTTTGAAATTAAGACGTCAACATCTGAGTACTTCGAGCGTAGAGATTCGCAGACCCGGTGTACGCCATGTGCGACGCAGGTGATATGAATCATATTAGGATAAAGCAGCTTCAATGATGACGCACTTTTCTTCATGTAGGGTGCTGCATCAGTCACAAATACCAACACTTTTTCACGTTGGAATCCTATTGGCCATAAAATGTGCATAGAATCGTCAAACAATGTTGCGATTGTTGATGAGTTCACCTTATCCAACACCTCCACCGGCAAGAGATAGCCGCGTCCGCTTTCACGCAACGGTCCAACAATAACGTTGGTTACACTGCGGCCTGCCTTATCTGTAGTTTCATCGATGGACACAAAGATGGGGCTTTCTCCTATTTCTAAACGAATTTTCTCCAAAACGGACTCGTAACAATCCTTCACGTAATTTTTTCTAAGAGTTGATTCATCGGGAAGGGATTCCTGAACGTATTTTTCAAAGAATGATTTGAATTCCACACTCTTCAATTTATAAAGTGGAATTCCGCATGCAATCATCATTTTAGTAATATCTGCGTAAAATACATTCTTTTCCACAAATGGTGCTATCATTTGGGTCTTGTTTTTCTTTATTTGTAATCCTTTTATATGTTTTTCACTTTTAATATGCTGCTGAATATAATATTTTTTTTCGTGATTAACTTTTACTGAACAAATATTGCAAAATAAAACGGTTCCATCAGTACAAAATACATCCGAACCAAACTCGGCAATCAGAATTTTTAAACTCTTGGTAATTTTAGACTTCGGCATTGCTTTTTTAGTTTTTACACTGAATAACTTTTTGTTTCAAATAACGGCTGGCAAACTCTATTGAAGTAAAACAGTTGTTAGTTGTGCACATCAGCAACTGTGTTGATAGATTTTAGCACGCAACAGAGTGACATGAAAACTACAAAATTTATTTTTGCTTAAGTATTCACTACTTACACACTGCGTTTTTCTATACATACTTATTTTCGAATATGGGCATGTGTATATTTCTTAATCTTTAAAAAGAAATTGTAAATGCTATAATCACTTTTTTAAAGGTAGAAAGGGCAAAAAAAGGCGAATATCTTAAAACAGGCAAAAAAAGGCAAATATCTTAAAAAAGGCAAAAAAAAAAGGCAAATATCTTAAAAAAGGCAAAAAAAGGCAACATCAAATGGGTATATATGGAATCAGGGAAAGCTAAATCGTGGACATTCTTGATCGAATATACTATATCTCTTTAGCAGAAAAAAAGGCAATTTCCATAAAATCCGTTCCCTGCTCATAACCAACCTTAGTTTTCAAACGTTCATAGCATGTATATTGGAAATACACTCGAAATGGGTCCGAAAAAGAATTAAAACCGTAGTAACGACAGAAATATAAGATATAATAATCAAGACTGAGTGATTCAAAATTCAATTCGATTCATAACGAAGGAAAAATTCATTGGATGACAAAGGTTCCGATTTGCTGGAGAATGGCCGATTTTAATTTCTTCTCCAATCATTTTCGAATTGTTAACTAAGCCCAATGTTTATTGCGT